GTACGATCGACTCGCTCCATTCAAAGGGGCGCCGCTCCGCTAATTGGGTTTAATCAAAGAGATTACGACTGCTTCTCTCGCATTCGCGGAGCGCCGCTCTGCCAAGTGGCCTCAGGCCGAGCAGTGCCAGTGTCACGGTCGTACGCCAATTGGCGGAGCGGCGCTCCGCTGATGGGAGCGAGCGGAGCGCCGCTCCGCCAGTGAGAGCGAAGCAAACTCGGCTCGCACGCTGGGAGGCCAACTAGCAGAGCGGCGCTCTGCGAATCGGAGCCAAGGCATGAAGCCATCTCACGTCTATGATTGGAGGCAGCTGGCCTCATCCGCCACCGTGCCGCTGGGCACAAAGCGGGCACGTCCTCAGGCCTTTCCTGCCTGATCCCGTGAGCCTCAGCCTTAAATTGGCAAAACAGGACCTTAAATTGCCAAATCTCTCTGGGCTTCCCGCGTGCCTGGGGCGTCTTCCCGCATGAGTTTGTCGGGCCCAAGGTGGCTCCAAATCGGGCCAAGAGGGCCAAAGGAGGGCCTGAAGACGGTCCAAGAGAGGCCCGAGCCGCCGAACGATCGTTCCAGGACGCTCAAGATGGCACCAAGAGGCCAAGATCACTGATTGCCCTTGGGTTTTGGGGTGTCTGGAGCGTTCTCGCCTTTTCGGGTCCCGACGCTCTCAGACGGCCGTAGAAGCTCCCAAGATCTCCACAAGACGGCCCAAGAGGCCTCCAAGAGGGCTTCCAAAACGGCCCAAAAGGGCCCCAAGACTGCCCAAGGGGCGCCGAAGACGGCCCAAGAGGCCCCAAAGACAGCTCCAACGGACCCGAGCGGACATTTCCAAGCCAGCTGAGGGACCCGAGCGGACATTTTCAACCCTCGGCCCCGAGGGGCCCCCAGGAGGCCCCAAGAGGTTCTGTCACGTGTTTGGCTTCTGGAAGCCGTTTCCTGAATTCGAGATTGTAGAAAAAAACTGCCTCGGGATGGAAAGCCAGTCCCCGGGCCTAGTTCGAAATCCCCGGGAGCCCACGTCGCAAAGACCGCGTCGCCGGAGGAGAGGAACCCTCCCACATGCCGAAAGCGTCCGACACCCCCCGCCGTAAATCTGTCATGGCGCGACGGAGTCTGGGAGGGGCAGGAGGAGGAGGAGGAGGAGGAGGAGAAGGAGGGGGTACCGACCTGCAGCTCATACAAAAAAGGTCAACACCACAGGTCCAACAAACCATCCCTTTACCTGTGCCGACTATATTCCAGCTTATGTACAACCAGAACGCGACTCCGACACCTTATCACCCGCCACCACCGAAGGGACCACCCCCAGGCAGAGCTCCGAATACAAACCACAACGACGACGCCGACCGCCCGATACTTCCGCAACCCAGTCGCTCCGCCAAGGTACAATCAAGGCGACGTTCTGCGGCCCGACTCCAACCACTATGCAGTGCTGCCACCGGGATGGTAGGCCGTCGCCGACGTAAACAGGAGCCTCGCGCACTACCACAACATGCAGACAGGCATCGCCCAGTGGAAGTTCCCAGCCAACGTCAACTACGACCAATGCTGCACACGACAGCTAACCGATCAGAACGTCGAGGCCTTCAGCATCAATAAGGACGGCTGCTTCTACCACAATATCAAGCCAACATTCCCCCCCAGCGATCACCCCCCAATGCCAGAGTACCCTGCGGAACGAGAGCAGGTCGACAAAGCAATGACACAGACCATCCAACACCTACTCGACAAGCTGAGGACGCAATACCAACAGGAACAAGAAACACAGGAATGGGTTGATCGAGCACATCTGTGGTACAGCGACATCGCAGGCGGCACCTTCTTCTTCCACCTCAAGGCCAACCAAGAATCCAGGCCGTTCCTCACATTCGACAACAACATGCTCGCTATCGCACCTGTACTCGAGGGAGGCCTACACACTCCACGCGTGAGCCACATCATCCACCGCATCAAGCAGCTGCGCAGCCCAAGACCAATACTCGCACCATTCGACGGCCACAGCACTTTCGACCGCGAGGTACACATCGAGATATTACCAACTCGAAACCCGAGCACACACGAAGTCACCATGCACAAGAACGAAGACACGACAATGACCGAGGACAACAACACGATGCACCACAAGAACAACGAAGCACCTACGAGCAGCGCAGACGCACCTACCAGCGCAACCCCATCAACCATATCACCAGTACCGACTCCCAACCAGAAGCACCAATAGCGGCACGATCCCAGCAGCGAAGCCTGCGAGACTCAAAGCACCACCTACCCGACCGACAGTCAGAGAAGAAACAATAGAACAGCCTACACACGTGATCGCCTACGTGATCAAGACCCGACAGCACGAGCTCGACTCACAGGAGCGACACGCACCCACCAGCGAACCTAGCTGCTCCAACCCGACTTCCAGCGACAGCACACCAGCAGCAAGCGCCAACCAACCACCTGCCATAGAAGTCGTACCACAGAGGCCGAATGGCTGGTTCTTCATCACCACGATCACACACGAGAAGGTCAGCCCCGACGCCATCGCCTTCCCGATGGAAGCACCCATACGCCACTCATTCCATACTAAGCTGGAGGACTCTCTCGAACACGGCACATCACGGTAAACGAGGACGACGCGGTCACAATCGTCAGTATGTCCTACAACAGTAACAACGACCTATGGGCACGGGCCACCATCACTCAGACCAATACCATGCGGAGCACCAAACAATCTCTGATAGCAGACATCATCACCGAATACCGGTCCCAACACAGCGGCATTCAGGAGAAGCTCGACATCCTTACGACAATGGTAGGCAAACAAAACGTCAAACAACCAGGCCCTCAACATCCAGAAGGAGATCCCCTTGGCCAACGAACCCATGTCCAAGCTCATCCACAACCTCAACGAGTCCATCAACAACCTACGCCCTTCAAACCGCGGCGATAGCCATCCTCGCCATCACCCACCGAACACTGGACGACCGCACGAGGTGCCCTTGCGCCCGACATCGTCACAGCCAGAAGACACGTCTTCCCGACCTCCGATGTACGCGCCAACTGTTCCTCATCAACCAGTACTCCCTGACCCTCATCCTCCGCATCGTCGTCACCTTCGGCAGCACGAGCACACGTACATCCTTGTCTCCTACGACCCCTGCTGCATCATGCGCGCGAACTGCATCCTCCTGAAATGCTCCTACCTCTGAGGGCCAAGCAGGGAGGGATGGGAGAGGTTGAGCTTGGAGGTGGGTTAGGAGTTGGGGGTGGTGGTGGGGGGGAGACAGGGCGGGCGCTTCGACCCGCAGCTCCACTTCTTCGTCCTCCCCTCGTTTCGCCCGCCGTTCGTGGCCCCCTTTTCGACTTCTTCTTTCGGGCCCCCGTCCGTTTCTCTCCCTTCGTACCTCGTCGCCCTCACCAACGGGCGGAACGGCCCATTTTCAGAATGGCCCTCTCCTGCGGTGCCATACGGCACCCGCAGGGGGGAGCCAATGGCAGCACCGACAAGGATCCACAGGCCGTGAGCGAGCGAGCGAGGAGGGGGCCAAAAGTCAGCCTCCGCACTCATCCTGGGGTGCGTTTTGCACAGAACTCCCCATGAGAACACGGCCACCGCGACGGGGAGCCCGCGAGACACCCAAAAGGCCCGAGGCCGCCAAGACGATTCTGACCACGTGGCGGGTCTCGGAAGGCCTACTTTTAGGTCGGGCGTGTCCCCCTACAGGGGGATCTGGGACGAATAGTGAAAAAAACGCCCAACCAGATATTCGAAATGCCCACAAACAGATTCCCTGACTCTTTGACCACTTTTGAATACACCCCCTGTAGAAGGACAGGCCCGACTCAAGCCTGGTTGCACATGCAACGCTTACCCATCGGTCGGAAGAAGTGGGTAGAAACATGAAGTAGGAAGGCGCTGGAAATAGATCGGGTTTCCGCCCCGCCTCCTGAGGAGGAGGGGAGAGGGAAAACCACTCGACTCTTGAAGTAGGAAGGCGCTGAAAGTAGATTGGAATCTGGGAATCCAAAAATACCTACTTTCAACGACCGAGGGGTACTTCCGCCAGCATCCGCCAGCCTTCCGCCAGCACCCGCCGGCGGAGGCGCCCTATCGCTCCACTTCGCCCGGCGTCCGCCGGCCTCCCGCGGGCCTTCCGCCGCCCTCCGCCCGGGGAGGCACGCCGGGCGCGCCAGACCCCTGCGATCCTCGAAGCGGCGGCGAGCCCGGGAGGGAGGTGCGAGAGGGGGCGGGCCTCCTCCGAGAGTGGCGGGGCCTCAGAAGCCCTCCCGCCTTCTGGAGATAGGAAGGCACCAACTATACACCAACACCGATCCTGGCCAGGATCACCCTGGGCCCAGGATCGGTGTATACGCCCTCCTGCCTTGGGCAAGAAGGCATATACACCGATCATGGGCCCAGGGTGATCCTGGGCCAGGATCGGTGTTGGTGTATAGTTGGTGCACCTCCGAGGAGAGGCCGCCCGAGGCCCGGAGAAGGCCCGCCAGGCCTCTGAGAAGGCGCGAGGACTTCTGAGAAGCCCCGCCGCGCGCCGAGAAGGCCCCCCCCTCTCGCTTCCCTCGCTGGTCTCCCCGCCAATCGAAGGAGAGGCCCTCCTCCTCCACCTCCTCCTCCACCTCCTCCTCCTCCTCCTCCTCCTCCTCCTCCTCCTCCTCCTCCACAACCTCCTCCTCCACCTCCTCCTCCACCTCCTCCTCCACCTCCTCCTCCTCCTCCTCCTCGTCCCCATCTACCCCCAGCCCTCTCTTGAGCTCCCCAGGTGCCGACACAGGAAGTCCGCGCGGACCTCCAGACCGCCCGACAGGTGGGGGCTCACGGTCGACGACGACGACGACGACGACGACGACGCCGACGACGACGACGACGCCGACGACGACGACGACGACGACGACGACGACGAAGACGACGACGCCGACAACGACCTTGACGGCGGCGGCCGCCGCCGGCTCTGCGCGCGGCGGCGAGGCGGCCCTGGGCTGGGGCGCTGGCGGGTCTC